GTGGAAAATGGGGGAAGGAGGAAGCTGGCAGGAAGTGGTGGGGAGGATACTGGGGGAAGAAGGGGAGGGAGAGGAGTGGATGAGGGAAGTTGAGGAGGAAAGGAAGAGGATGTGGGAGGAAGGGGGCGTAGGAGAGGATTAGAAGGATGGAGGGGGTGGAATGAAAAGGAAGGAAGAGGGGGGAAGAGGGGGAGGGGGTGAGAGAGGGAGGGAGGAATGAGTAAGAGAGTGAGAGAGAGAATGAGATTGGATGAAAGGGGTGGGAAGCTCTGGAGGAAGAGGGAATATTTTGTTTTACCTAGAAGAAGGAATCCACGTTAATGAGTGGAAAGACGCTGGAAACGGAAGTCCCTAACGGAGAGAGAGAAAGAGAGAAAAGGCAGAGTAAATAAAATTAGGTTTAATAGGTTAAGTTAGAATAAGTTAGTAAGTAAGTTTAAGTTTATGTAAATGCGATATATGTGTATGTGTATGTAAAATTGTAAAATTGTAACCCCAAGGGGATCAATAAAGTATCTATCTATCTATCTAAATAAAGAGATTAAATACATTACACTTAATGTGTAGATACGTTATGAAAATGAGTACTATTTACACTTTTCGACGCCATTTTGGCTTCAAATCCTTATACATTGGTCTTATGGATTGCGGTACTTTATAAATCTAGTGACTTTATTAGATAAGAACAGATGTATGCGTTTGTGTAAGACAGAATGATATATATTATATAATATAATGAATAGGTCTTTCACTATTCCATATGTTAAGGGGATGCTGGAGTCTTCTTTTTTACCGATAAAGCAAGCGTTTATGTTTCTTGCGCGGTTCTTCGAATTAATTGCACAGAATAAAAATTCCTTCTCCACGATTGAAATATCCGTGCTAATGTACCTGCTCCTGGTGTATTTTGTGACCAAAACTAGGAAAAATAATGAATTACAGATTCCTGTATCCATGTGCTATCAGCTCACCAAACATTTACTTCGTGAAAAAATTATATGCACGTTATATGCTCGAAATTAGGGCAGAAGCACATGTAGAATAAATAGACGATTACAGTCGTATCTTTAGAATTAAGTTTTGACGCGTAAATAAAAAGATTAGCGCAAGGAACGAAATTGTGTGTCTAGCGCCTGAGAAATCGATGATGTACGACAGTTTAGACTGTTTAGCCATGAAACCGAGCAGTATTTTAGTTGATCTCTTTCTAAGAGATGTCGTTGCAATATGTTAGATAAGGACAGATGAATGCGTTTGAGTGAGACACAACGATATGTAATAAGTATAAGAAATGAATGAAAGATGTCATTATTGTCGAATTTGGAATTTAAAAAAGTCTGTACTATTGACCTTGATTAACTTCGACCATCACTCCAGCATCCCCTTAATGCAATTAAAAAAAAATTCCCTTCGAGTTATACAATGTCACAAAAATCTCAATCGTCATTTTTTGCTTTTTTAATGCTATTTGCCTCAAAATTGTGACATGATAGTCAGCTTCATTTTGTTTTCATAAAACAAAAATACATAAAAAATAGTTATTCATATTTGTGTTGCAAAAAATGTTTTGTCGGACAGTGTTATTAATGAAATAGCTAATGAATTATTACTTACATGTTAAGAATTAATTGTTTAATTAAATTTTAATTAATAGTAGAATTAAATTTTAATAATTAATTACATATTATGTAATTAATTATTAAAATTACATATGTAGTTTACGTAAGTTAAATGACAATCGTACTTTTAGAACTTCCTCATTAATAATGAAACGACTGCTTCGACCGTGGCATTGGATTGAATGGTTGTTCTATTCACTGCCTACAGGAAAACAGTTTAAATCAGCGCTTGATATATTGCATGGATTTACAAAAGTGGTATATTTTAGAAATGTTAAAAATATTTTTTGTATTTAGTGACTTAAAACAGTGTTAAAGTTTTACTAAAATTTTTACATTATTTCGTTTGAGAAATATTCGCATTTACATCTAACACGATAAATTCTATATAGGTGATAAGTAAGAGAAAGATTGAACGACAATCGCAAAACGGCCATACGGGACTCGAAAATGAAGACAATGAATTTAACATAGGTTGTAAATTTGAATTATATATTGTACTTTATATAGATTATAGGTACATAATTTATTTAGGTACTTCATAAATATTCCTTATTTAATAAAATTTATTATATTAGGTAAACGTAAGAGACAGGCGTTCTTAGATCTATTATTAGATCAGAATGCGAAAGCTGACACCCCTTTGACTGATGATGAGTTAAGAGCGCAAGTCGATACGTTCATGTTTGAGGTAAGATGTGCGAAATTAAAATTAAATTTAAAATTTTACAATTTTTGTAACATAAAATTTTATCTTTATTTAATTAAATTAGCAAGATAATGTATCTGTAAAAAGGACATGTAAAATAATATAAAAATGTTAAAAGGGGCATGATACAACTGCGGTTGCGATAACTTGGACGCTCTTTCTTTTGGGCAATAATTTAGAGCATCAGGAAAAAGTTCACGAAGAACTCGAGGAGGTTTTTGGAGATTCAGAAACACCAGCCAATGTAAAGGAGCTGTCGAAATTAAAGTATCTCGACAGAGTCATAAAGGAGACACTCCGAATATTTCCGAGTGTACCTATAATCTCAAGGGAACTAATGGAAGATATAAAAATAGGTAGGATATAACTTTATCTGCTACTTAAGTAAGAGTTTCAAAAAATGTACCAATATGTAAATTCATTTATAATAAAGTAATTAAATCAGAGGTGTGCGAATCAAGCATTTGTAAAATCGAATCGAATCTGTGACATGTTCAAAAACAAATCTGAAATCTTTACACTGAATCAAATCGAATCCAATTCTTTTGATTCGAAAACGAATTCGAATCAAATTTTCACATACTGACAGCTAAAAAAAAACTTAAAAGCTGAAAAAATTCATTTTGAATGTACAAGTATATCAAAAAGTTGATAATGTGACATAAATATATTAAAAACGATACTTTTTGGTAGTATTTGCACCTTGAAAATGACTCATTTTCTCGTTTGTTTAAAGAGATCTGAACCGTCAGTGAAAATACTTCATTATTTTTTAAATTAGCTTCTATTAATTTGTTTCTAGTACGTAAAGTATCGCATTATAACATAATAATTATTAATAAATTAGAGACTTCTTCATATGCGTATAAGTAAACAAATAATAATCGCGATTATAATGTATTGTTTTGAAGAAACTAGTGACTATTTATTCTGCACTGAGAGAAATGTTTAAGTACCTACATATAACCATCCATTTTGTTGCCATACGATTAACAAAAACTTTCTTACTCTTTCATTTAAAAATTGTCCTAACCAAAATTTTTATTATTCTAACTAAACTTTGATTAGAATAATCAAAGTTTAGTTAGAAAATTCAAACTTTGATTATTCTAATCAAAATTTGGTCGTCGTAAATTTTGGTTAGGACAATACAATTTTTTAATGAAAAAATAAGAAAGTTTTTATTAGTCACATATCAACAAAATGAATGGTTATAAGTACAAAACGTTCCTTTCAGTGTGTCGAAATCTAATTTAAAGCTAATTGTTGTATTAAATTTGTACCTTTATTTCAGTTTTAATTAGCTTGAACAAAATGAATACCATAATTTCGCACAACTATTGTCCTACGCCACAACTATGATCCAAACACCCGCGCGCACGACAATCCCGATACGTAGATATAATACGTAGATATAATTGTAGAAATATTAATTAAATGTAAAAACACTAAATTACCTGTCATGTAGACCAGCGAGAACACAGAATAGCTTGTCGTGATAACCGATGGTCGAGAAAGTTTGCAGATAACGAGGTTAGTTGCCAACTTTCTCGACCATCGGTTATCACGACAAGCTATTCTGTGTTCTCGCTGGTCTACATGACAGGTAATTTAGTGTTTTTACATTTAATTAATATTTCTACAATTATATCTACGTATTATATCTACGTATCGGGATTATTGTGTCCGCGGGTGTTTGAACCATAGTTGCGGCGTAGGACCATAGTTGTATGAAATTATTAGCGTTTTCGGCCCGATCGGGTTTGCACCAACCTGGGTTGGATTAATCTTTCCTATTGGTTGATGTCACACGCTCTACCAATAGGAGAGCGCAAAACGCCATTAATCCAACCCAGGTTGGTGCAAACCCGGTCGGGCCGAAAACGCTATATGATAGTATTTTAAAACATGAATAACATTTTCTTCACAATGTAAGCCAATATGTGCATGTGCTTGCACGAAGATTGGTAAGCAAGATTGATATAAAATTGGTCGCAAGAGATATAGGGAGAGGGAGAGAGAGAAAGAGAGAGAGAAGGGGGAGGGACAGAAGGAAAGAGAGAGAGATAGAAGTCGCAAATAAAGCATATAAAATAGACGAGTGATAAAATAGGCGAAATTTCGTACATATTTGGTTTCGAGTCTCAAATTCGAAAACGGATCGAATCAAATTCACTGTGATTCGATTCGAATTCGAACTAATTCGCACATCTCTAAATTAAATGCTCTCTCTTAACAAAAATAGTCATATTCATGTTATAATAGATAAAATAGTCACGGATAAATTGTGATTATCAACAGTCAGATTATCAAATAGTTTGTTTGCGTTACTTACACCTTTTGCACAACATCTTCACTTTCTCTTCAACAAAGCACCGGAATATCTTGAAAATCAAACACAGTAGGAAAAAATATTTCAGACAAAAGTTGTATGATTCGAAAGGAGACAAATAATGATAAAATCATTTTTTTAAATCGATTTTTTAAGGTCATATGGAGGTCACCTTCACTTGTTTAAATGAAATGATATAATTTTTTTACACAATATGGTTCCTCTAATTATTCTGAATATAAAAATATTAAGGGAGGAAATATCTTTAGGAGGCTAAAAAAACGGCAATTTTCAAGTATTTTTTAAATAAAAACTATTTAGCTAATTGTTTCAAACTTTTTTATGTTACTTTGTCTATTTTGAATACATAAATATATTTTTTTTACAAAATATTAAAAAATACTAAAGCAGCAGCGCCGCAAATAACAGAGGTGGCGATGTGAGTTGCCAATCGGTGGGACATGTAGCTCCTATTATATTGATACAAAACAGACAGAAAAAAATTTTTTAAGTTAATAAGATGTATACGATTCTATGTGAACCTAAAAAAAGGTGAAAAAAAATTAAAATTGAAAAAATGATGCATGTTTGAAAAAAAGTTTGAATTTTTCACGAAATTTTCGTTAAATTTTGAAATAAAAAAGTACCTTTTTAAAATAATTTTCATAAACATTTAGATTCACATAGAAGGTAATTATATACAGTGTAGTTAAACGTAGAGATTTCTCCTTAAGGGGATCCTAAAGCAAACGCTGAACTCCGATAGGAAAACGCCCTCTAATAAACGGAACTAAAAATGTCGGTAATACTGACATTTTTATTCCGTTTCCTACTTATCATTCTAGTTCAGACTCAAACCACATACGTGCAATATAGGACTGCGTTCAGAAACTTCATCCGGATGCACCCAGAGATTATTTTATCCTTATTAACGTTCAGTGAACAACGAGAATAAAATAATAAACCCTGAATTACTGAATGCATTCTAGAGTCACATTTCGCTACGTCCAATATCGTCATCAGGTTGTAAAACATGTATTGACAATACATGTAACCTTTTTGAGGTTGCATATTCTTTTATTGCATTGCATATTCTTCCAGCGCGCGCGCGTGTGTGCGTGCATGTGTGTGTGCGTTCATGTGTGCGTGCGTGCGTGCGTGCGTGCGTGCGTGCGTGTGTGTGTGTGTGTGTGTGTGTGCGCGCGCGCGCGCGTACGTGCGTGCGCGCGTGCGCGCGATGTGTGTACATTGTACATGCTGGGTTTATGCAATTTTGAAAGTATAATACCTGTTATACAGCCGTAAGTGGCAAATGTAAGTGTTTATTGTAAGAATGGAGCTATCACAATCGAATAGTATCCACATATTTGACTTGATTAGCCAATTCTTACAGCTTACAACTATTATAGAATCATTAGGCATTTATATATATGCAGGGTGTCCCATTTTAAATAACGGACAGGAATATCTCGGATGGTAAGCATTTTGGAAGAAATTTGTTTATACAAAAGTTGTAGGGTACAGACAAGGCTAACTTATGGTGACCTTGACCTTGACCTTGACGATGACCTTCAAGGTCATTTCAATATCAAGTCAATTTTTTCAAATGGAACCCCTTATTTTTTAACCCGGAAGTGGAAAGAGCGGAAGATTTTACGTCCGAATATGACCTTGACCTTGACCTTCATCGCTACCTTCAAGGTCATTTCAATATCAAGTCGATTTTCTTAATGGAACCCCTCATTTTTTACCACGGAAATGGAAACAGAGGAAGATTTCAAGGTCCGCATGTGACCTTGACATTGACCTTGACCTCGACCTTCAAGATCATTTTAAGGTCAAGTCGATTTTTTTTGAACGGAACCCCTTATTTTTTATCCCGGAAGTGGAAAGTGCGGAAGATTTTACGTACAAATTTTAAACGATTTCGGTAATTTAATATAAATTATGCTTATTAATGATCAACTGAGTAAGATTCTCTGAAGAAGATCGAAAAAGATCGAAAAAGATGGGAGTTAAGTATTTTTGAATGATAAAATCCAGTTTTAAACCACTGTGCGATGCTCCGACGCCCGGCCTCCAGATGTTAGGGGTCCTGACCTCCGGGCGTCCGGACGCTTCGTTTCCCGAATTGAGGGCTGTAGGGATTTATGACTGTAAAAACTAATTTTTACACCACTGTGGTAGTCGAGACTTTCGAGATGAGACGAGACGGTACGCGGTGCTTTGAGAGACTCCTCTATCTTGCCTTAACTGGCTGGGTGACTCCTCTATCTTGCCTTAACTGGCTGGGTGACTCCTCTATCTTGCCTTAACTGGCTGGGTGACTCCTCTATCTTACCTTAACTGGCTGGGTGGCTCCTCTATCTTGCCTTAACTGGATGGGTGACTCCTCTATCTTGCCTTAACTGGCTGGGTGACTCCTCTATCTTGCCTTAATTGGTTGGGTGATTCCTCTATCTTGCCTAAACTGGCTGGGTGACTCCTCTATCTTGCCTTAACTG